CCACCCTGGGTCTCCCACAGAGGTGCAGGGACCCAAGCACTTGGGCCATCCTTTGCTGCTTTCCCAGACACATCAGCAGGAAGATGGATCAGAAGTGGAGCAGCCGGACTAGGCACAGTGCCAACCTGGGATGCAGCCATCACAGGTGCAGCTTAACCTGCTGCACCACAAGGCCAGCCCCTTATTTCAAACTTAAAAAAAAATATTTATTTATTTATTTATTTATTTGAGAGAGAAAACTCTCATCCCTTGGTTCCCTCCCCAAATGCCTGCAATGGCCCTGATCCAGGGGACAAGAAGCTGAAGCTGGGAATTCAATCCCAGTCTCCCACATGGGTGGTAGGAAACCAATCATTTGAGCCATCGCCACTGCCTCCCAGGGTCTACATTAGCAGAAAGCTCGAGTTAGGAGCACAGCCGGGCACGGAATCCAGGTGCTCCCATACAGGGTTCGGGCATCTTAACCACTATCATAGCCATTAGGACAAATGCCTGCCTCAGATTTCAACATCTTCCTCCACAAGGAACATTATAAAGCATGGAAGGATCAATGAGTTGATGCAGTGACATAAGCGATACTGCATTTCCGAAAGCCTGAACTTCTACCCATCTTCCAAAACCTGTTCAAGCACCATGTCTTCAGACAGTCCTGACCAGCGGACACACACCTGAGTCCCACTGCTTATTTTGCAGAGCATCTAGTCCTTCCTGTAATACTGTCAACACTTACCACAGGCTGCTTCACATGGATAACCTTTAGGCACGTCTCAACTCCATGCCAGCATTTTAGTTGTTTCACAAGGATTGTCATAAAACGGAAACTTGGGGCAGGTGTGTGGTACAGTAATTAAGTTGGCAACTGAGAAACCCACAGCCCATATCGAGGTGCCTGTTTCAAGTCCCAGCCACTCTGCTTCCAATCCAACTTCCTACAAACGTGTACCAGGGGACACAGCAGGTGATGGCTCAAGTACTTGAGTCGTCCCGACCACCCGCACAGGAGACCCCAGACAGGACTGAGTTCCATGCTTTGCACTGGCCCAGCCATGGTTACTGTGGGCAGTGAACCAGCAGATGGAAGACCTCTTTTCAGCTGACTCTCTACCTTCCAAATTAAATGAAAACAAGTAACTTTTTAATGAAATCTTATTTCTCAATAGCAACTGAGACCAGAGTCGTCGTCTTTAAAAAAAAAAAAAGATTTATTTATTTATTTATTTGACAGGTCGAGTTACAGACAGTGAGAGGTAGAGACAGAGAGAAAGCTCTTCCCTCCATTGGTTCACTCCCCAATTGGCCGCAATGGCTGGAGCTGTGCCGATCCGAAGCCAGGAGCCAGGTGCTTCTCCTGGTCTCCCACGGGGTGCAGGGCCCAAGCACTTGGGCCATCCTCCCGGGCCACAGCAGACAGCTGGCCTGGAAGAGGAGCAGCCAGGACTAGAACCGGCACCCATATGGGATGCCAGCGCCACAGGCAGAGGATTAACCTACTGTGCCACAGACCAAAGTCAGGAGCCTAAAACTCAATCTGGGTCTGCCACATGGATGAGCCCTCTTCCTCTGCCCAGCTGCTCTGCTTCTGATCCAGCTTCCTGCTAATATACCTGGGAAGGCAGCAGATGGCCCAAGTGCTTGGCTGCCTGCCACCCCTATGAGACCAGGATGGATTTCCCGGTGCCTGGCTTCAGCCTGTCCCAGACTTGGCTATTGTGGCCATTCGGGAAGTCTATCAGGGGATGGAAGACAGATCTCTCCCCACCCCCCAACCCATCTCTCTCTGTTGCTGCCTTTCTTTCTTTCCTTTTTTTTGGACAGGCAGAGTTAGACAGTGAGAGAGAGACAGAGAGAAAGGTCTTCCCTCTAAGAGAGACAGAGAGAAAGGTCTTCCCTCCATTGGTTCACCCCCCAGATGGTCGCTACGGCCGGCGCGCTACGCCGATCCGAAGCCAGGAGCCAGGTGCCTCCTCCTGGTCTCCCATGCGGGTGCAGGGCCCAAGCACTTGGGCCATCCTCCACTGACTTCCCGGGCCACAGTAGAGAGCTGGACTGGAAGAGGAGCAACAGGGACAGAATCTGGCGCCCCAACTGGGACTAGAACCCAGGGTGCCGGCGCCACAGGTGGAGGATTAGCCTAGTGAGCCATGGCGCCAGACCTACCTTTCTTTTTTTATTGACAGGCAGAGTGGACAGTGAGAGAGAGACACAGAGAAAGGTCTTCCCTCTAAGAGAGACAGAGAGAAAGGTCTTCCTTTGCCGTTGGTTCACCCTCCAATGGCCGCTGCGGCCAGTGCACTGCGCTGATCCAAAGCCAGGAGCCAAGTGCTTCTCCTGGTCTCCCATGTGGGTGCAGGGCCCAAGGACTTGGGCCATCCTCCACTGCACTCCTGGGCCACAGCAGAGAGCTGGACTGGAAGAGGGGCAACTGGGGCAGAATCCGGCGCCCCGACCGGGACTAGAACCTGGTGTGCCGGCGCCGCAAGGTGGAGGATTAGCCTATCGAGCCGGGGAGCCAGCCAAGGCCCTACCTTTCAAATACATAAATCTTGGGTCCGGCGCTGTGGCATAGTGGGTAAAGCTGCCGCCTGCAGTGCTGGCATCCCATATGGGTGCCAGTTTTAGTCCCGGATGCTCCCCTTCTGATCCAGGTCTGTGCTATGGCCTGGGAAAGCAGTAGAAGATGGCCCAAGTCCTTGGGCCCCTGCAGCTGCGTGGGAGACCTGGAAGAAGCTCTTGGCTCCTGGCTTTGGGATCTGGCTTTGCCATCTGGGCAGTGAGCCAGCAGATGGAAGACCTCTCTCTCTCTCTCTCTCTCTCCCTGCCTCACTCCCTCCCTCTCTGTAACTCTGCCTTTCAAATAAATAAATAAGTTTTTTTTTTTTTTTTTTTTTTTTTTTTAAGATTTATCTTCTACTGCTTTCCCAGGCCATAGCAGAGAGCTAGATCAGAAGTGGAGCAGCTGGGTCTTGAACCAGCACCCATATGGGATACCAGTGCTTCAGGCCAGGGCGTTAACTCACTGCGCCACAGTGCCGGCCCCAATAAATAAGTATTTTAAAAAATAGACCCAAATCTTTTTTTAAAAAATGGATGATGGGCCAGTACTGTGGCACAGTAGGTTAAATCTCCACCCGTGGCACCAGCATCTTATGTGGGCACCAGTTTGTATCCCGGCTGCTCCTATGCTGATCCAGCACTGTGCTATGGCCTGAGAAAGCAGTAGAAGATGGCCCAAGTCCTTGGGCCCCTGCACACACATGGGAGACCTGGAAGAAGCTCCTGGCTCCTGGCTTCAGATTGGCCCAGCTCCAGCCATTGCGGCCATCTGTGGAGTGAACCAGAGGCTGGAAGACCTCTCTCTCTGCCTCTCCCCCTCTGTGTCTGTTAACTCTGTCTCTCAAATAAAGAAATAAACTTTGAAAAAAAAAATGGCTGATGAACTCAAATAGGCATTTCTCTAAAGAAGACAAACACAAATAGCCCATAAGCACATAAAAAGATGATCAACATCATTAGTAACAAGGGAAATAAAAATCAAAACCACAAGATACCAGTTTGCAAGTACCAGGACGGCTATAAGTAAAAAACAGCAAAAGTTAAGTGTTGGCAGGCTGTGGAGCAATGCCCGTACACTGCTGGGGGGAATGTAGATGGGTATAGCCACTGTGAGAAATGTTCTGGAGATTCCTCAAAAAACTAAACAGAATTACCATATGACCCAATAATGTCATTATGTACTCAGAGTATATACCCAAAAGAATGGAAAACAGGGACTCAGATATTTGTATTTGGAAGTTGTTGCATTTTTCACAATGGCCACAAGGTATAAATGACACAAGAGCCCATCAACAGACAAGTGAATCAACAAAGTGTGCTTTATAACGAATACTACACAGTGTATACACTAGACAAAAACAGGTGTGAAGTACTGACGTACATGCTAGCACACAGATCAGCCTTGAGAACATTATGCCAAAAGAAATTACGCAGACATAGAAAGACGAATACTGCAGAATTCCATTTAACTGAGGTACTTGGACTGGCCAAATTCATAGCAACCAAAAGTAGACTAGAGGTCATCAGAGGCTATGCTACAGGAGGAATGGGTAAGTTACTGCCTAATGGTGACGGTTTCGTGCTTTTTTAAGAATTATTTATTTATTTACTTATTTGAAAGTCAGAGTTACACAGGAAGAGGGAGAGACAGAGAGCCAGACAGTCCACCTGCTGATTCTCTCTCCAGACAGCCACAACAGCAAGGCCGGACCAGGCTGAGGCAGGGAGCCTGGAACTCCATTTGGGCCTCCCACGTGGGTACAGGGGCCCAAGGATTTGGGCTATTTTCCACTGCTTTCTCAGGCACATCAGCAGGGAGCTGGATCTGAAATGGAGCAGCTGGGACTAGAACTACCGCCCACATGGGATGCCAGCACTGCAATAGCAGCTCAACTCACCACACTGGGAAGGTAATTTTTTTTTTTTTTTTTGACAGGCAGAGTGGACAGTGAGAGAGAGAGACAGAGAGAAAGGTCTTCCTTTGCCGTTGGTTCACCCTCCAATGGCCGCTGCGGCCGGCGTGCTGCAGCCGGTGCACCGCGCTGATCCAATGGCAGGAGCCAGGTGCTTATCCTGGTCTCCCATGGGGTGCAGGGCCTAAGGACTTGGGCCATCCTCCACTGCACTCCCTGGCCACAACAGAGAGCTGGCCTGGAAGAGGGGCAACCGGGACAGAATCCGGTGCCCTGACTGGGACTAGAACCCGGTGTGCCGGCGCCGCAAAGCGGAGGATTAGCCTAGTGAGCCGCGGCGCCGGCCTACTGGGAAGGTAATTAAGGCCACCAAACTGTACATTTTCAAATAATCAAAATGGCAAGGTTTATATTATGTATATTTGAGCACAATACAAATAAATAAATTAAGTAAACTTTAAGGCACAGACAAAGCCAACCAAGAAAGAAACACTGAGGCTAACACGGTGCAGAGAGATGACAGCACATGCGTACCTGTCCACGCACTGCACTCGGGACAGGGGAGGCAGGCATCTCCGGTTATGAGCTTCTCGGGCAGCAAGCCTAGCCTCTGACAACTGAAAAAGAGCACAAAACTTGCTGAGAAAAAAACTAGCAAACGTGCTAACCTCCTAGGAAAACTGCTGTCACGTGCTGACATCGAGGATCTAGAAGTTCAGGCAGCACAATGTTGAACACGCGTGCTCATTTCAGGGGAAAACAAAACTCAGAAAACCAGGACAAGAGGAGAGCACTTCAGGTAACACCCAACAAGGGAAAGGACTGAGAGATTAACGCACACGCGTTGGCCTTAACAATGCTCAGAAGAGTAGCATAATAAACTGAGCAACGCTGAAAATCCCTGGGCAAAGTCTTCAGAAACTTTACTTGGGACTGAATCCAAGAGGACACAAAACTCATAACTACGTCTTGATGCCTTCACTGGTCACCACGCTAGATAAAGGATGTTCAATGCAAATGTCCACAAAAACATGTTCTTCTACTACTTCCTCAATGATTATGACCTAGACTCTTTAGGGAGAGATCTATGCAGTCCTTGCAAGCAGACTGCTATGAAATTAATGATGCCAACCCCCTAAATTCATTTGTTGAAGCATAACCTCCAGCGTGATGGCTTAGCCTGAGCACCCCTAATCCAAAAACCCAGAACATTTCAGACGTCAAGAGTGGATTTCTGGATTAGGGGTGTTCAACCAGTGAAGATTATGCAAACATTCTAAAACTTCAAAAATCCAAAATCTAAACACTTTTGGCCCTAAGCATGTCAGATAAGGAATATTTATCTTGCATTTAGAGTAGGGCTTTGGAGAAGCAATTAGGTCATGAATAAGGTGCCCCTGTGTGTGGGATTAATACTCTTAGGAGAACTTTCTCTTTCCGGCCTCTCTCTGTGCCAAGCGAGGATAAAATGAGAAGAAAGCCATCTGCAAACCAGGCAGCCAGCCCTCAGTAGACACTACATCTGCCAGAAACTTCATCTTGGACTCTGCAGCCTCCAGACTGGGAGACACAAATGCTTGTTGGTTACGGCACCCGGTCTACAGCAGCCTGAGCTAAGACCCAGACCACCTGCCAGTCAATAGCAACACCTCAGGAAATCTAAAGGGCAACTAGAACTTTTGAGAGAGGAAGAAGACATCGTCACCAATGCTGAGTTAGCACGACTCCAGTCTCCTGAAGCAAAACTCCTGGTATCTTTATCTACCTGAAGGCATTTATCTCACGTAACGTTCAATAAAGTTGACAAACCTTTTCATCTTCCCACTGAAAAAAATTACACTCTTTCCTGTCTCTACAGGCTGAGCAGGCGTAAAATCTCCGCGTTTCTTCCTTCCCTTGGATCACTTTTACAAACAGAAGAGTGGGTCCTAGTGCCAGAACAGGAAAAAACATGTCAAACAATTGCCTACATCAAATTCTTAGGAGTCACTGCCCCTAAAATGGGATTTGGTTTTATGCACACCATTTCGTAATTAAAGTCAACACTATTTCATGAACTCTTCTGTTGCGGTCACAACCTTCTGGCACAGACTACTTAGTACACGCCCATTTTTGAAAACCGGTCTCTCCAGAAGGAGAACGCCACCATCTGTCTAGCTCTGTCCGCGCTGTGACCGTCACGAACCGGGGTCCTGATGCTAAAGGGCAAGGAGGCGCCCTGAGAATCCAGCGCTCTCCATCTCCCTCGCGGTCATCTTTTCAGTGAAACCCTGAGCTTTAACTTGGACACATCCTCTCAAAGAGGAAAAGTGGGGCTCGTTTCCAGGCAAGAATCCATCGCATCCCACCCCTAACTCTTCTGTTTGATAAGACAGCAAACCAACAATGAAATCCCCGAGAACGCCTCTCCCTTGCATACGCTCTGCCCATTCCCCGCCCTGAAAACAGAGAGGTAACAGCACTGGAGCCAAAAGCACAACACTGGGGGACAGCAAACGCACTTCTGAGCTCCCCACGGCCCTGACGCCACAGCCCCGCAGCCAGGCTGGGCCCAAACACGGACCCACCGTGAGGGCAGAGCGGGGCGGGGGCGGCAGGATCCGAGGGAAACGCCACCTTCACTCCCCAGCTCCCCTGTCTCCCACTGCTGCCTTGTGCCTCCAAAACACCAAGCTGGTCCCTGGGGGCCGCCATCTTCCCGCCGCCGTCCCGAAAGCCTCAGTCCGAATCGAGGAGGAGGAGAAAGAGCGGCGCCGAGCGTCCGAGGGCTCACAGCGCCCCCGCGCGCCTTGGAGGAATTGGCTCCCGCGGCCGCGGAGGCCACGCCCCGAAACCCAGGGCCCGGCCCTCCGGGGCTGCTCCTAAGCGGCCCCTCGCGGTAGGGCTGGCAGGCCGCACGTTGGACCTGCGCGGTGAGATCACCTGTGTTCTGTCTCGCTCTGAGCACCTGCGGTCTTCCGTAGCCCAGAGAGCAAAAACTGGGTCGGGATTTAAGTCCAAACCGGCAGCGCCACCACCAACAGTCGCTGAGAAACAGCGGGAACGGCTGCCGTGGCTGAAATGATGGAAAGAGCCTCCTTTTGTCAGCGTCACAGCCACACTGTTCTCGGACTTCTGTGCAACGATTGTACGTTGCACACCCATGTAATTGCACACCCCTTGGCATTTAGGCATCAGAACGAAACTGTCCCTACTTGCCGATGGCGTGATTGTCTCTGCAGAAAATTCTAAGGAATCTACATTTTTTTAAAATTCCAGTTTTTTTTAAAGATTATTTATTTATTTATTTGACAGGTAGAGTTACAGACAGTGAGAGGGAGAGACAGAGAGAAAGGTCTTCCTGCCGTTAGTTCACCCCCAAAATGGCCGCTACGGCCGGAGCTATGCTGATCCGAAGCCAGGAGCCAAGTGCTTCCTCCTGGTCTCCCATGCGGGTGCAGGGCCCAAGCACTTGGGACATCCTCCACTACCTTCCCGGGCCACAGCAGAGAGCTGGCCTGGAAGAGGAGCAGCCGGGACAGAATCCGGTGCCCATATGGGATTCCAGCACTGAAGGCGTAGGATTAGCCAAGTGAGCCACGGCGCCAGCCCTAAAAATTCCAGTTTAAAGTGAGTTCCACAAGGTTGCAGGATATGAAATAAGCATACATGATGCACTGTTTCTATATACGGACAATGATCACACGAACATTAAAATTAAAGATAGAATACCATCTATAGCTGTTCAAACAATCTACCACAATATGCAGGACTTGTGAACCGAAAACTACAAAATACCGATTAAAGATAAGTCAAGGGGCCGGCACCGTGGTGTAGTGGATAAGACCGCTGCCTGCAGTGCTGGCATATGGACGCCAGTTCGAGTCCCGGCTGCTCCACTTCCAATACAGCTCTCTGCTACGGCCTGGGAAAGCAGTAGAAGATGGCCCAAGTCCTTGGGCCCCTGCACCCGTGTGGGAGACCCAGAGGAAGCTCCTGGCTCCTGGCTTCGGATCAGCGCAGCTCTGGCCGTTGCGGCCAAATGGGGATGGAAGACCTCTCTCTCTCTCTCTCTCTCTCTCTCTCTCTCTCTGCCTCTGTCTTTCTGTAATTCTGTCTTTCAAATAAATAAATAAGTCTTTAAAAAAAGAGAGAGAAGTCAAAGGAGATCTACATAAATGTAGTGAGAGACTGTGTTTATAAATTAAAGGGCTAAATGTAATAAAAATACAAGTTCGGTACATACAGGTTTGCGTGATTTCCATCAAAATCCCAGCCACAGTTTTTTGAAAATGTAGACAATATTATTCTGAACTTTACGCAGAAAGGCATGGACACAGCTAAGATAATTTTGAAAAAGAGTAATACAGTGGAAGGACTCTGCCTAGGAGTATGTGCGGTTGGCGGTTTTGGCGCTGTGCGACTTGGCAAGATTCCGAAGCCACGGCAGAGACCTGAGCTGGGGTGGCCCCCGCCCACGGAGCTCGGTCCCTGGACTCTGCACAGCGCCAGAGCAAGCCGCTGAGCTCCCTGGAAGGCTCGAGACGCGTCGTGCCTTGACCTCAGCCAGAGAAGAGGCAAGTGGCTCTAGAACATTCCCAATCCCCACATCTCCTGTGCAGAAGGCGGTTGAGGCCACAGGCGTGTTCTACAGCGGTCACGGGACCATCTGCTTTGCCTTCTGGGAACAGAACCTTAGCTGCCCCGGGTGGCAGCCCCGCCCCAGCTGGGGCCTTGTGGTTTGAGAGGCACAGAGAAAGCAGAACGGCCTGGGCTAGCCTGGGGCAGCGACTTGGGCCTTGGCTGGAACGGCTGAGAAAGAAGCCATACAGTTAGGATTGTGTCCTCTCTGTCGCATCCCTGATGTTGACACAACCCGAGTCAGAGGGTTCCGCTCTCCCATGCAGCCCAGGGTTGGTTCACACAATGGTGGTTGACTGATCCAGGCTCACATGGCTGGGGTAACTCGGCTCTGCTCTGTGTGCGCCCCATCCTCTTCCTGGAACCAGCAGGTCGGCCTCAGCATAGCTTCCCCGTGGCGGTGGTGTATGCACGAGAGAGCAATGGCAGAAACAGACCAGCTTCCTGAGGGCTAGCCTTGGAACCGTCACGATGTCCCTCCCATCTCATTCTTTCCGTTCAAGCAAGTCCCATGGCCAAGTATCGCCCAGCTCCGTGGTGAAGGTAGAGAATTAGGAAGAAGCTGAGGGCTGGGGCCTGGTGCACAGGCTACCATAGGAGCACTGTTCACTGGGTTGACCAGATGGCCGGTGGCAACACTGCCCACCTGCCTTAGTGTGAAGCCAAGCTGAGGACAGCAGACCTGGGCGGTGAGAACATGAAGGCTCCATGAGAGCATGTTGATTGCAGACACATGAACCAGAAATTGCTCTGTCTCCCCAGGCCAGCGGACACGGGCTTGGGCGCATCACCGTCCCCCAAGGCTGGCAGCCTTAACACACAGGGATGCTATCTGTCCATCAATACGCCCGGATGCCTTCTCCCTGGCTTCCATTCTCCCTGCCACAATCTCTGCGGGCCTGCCTGCTCTCCCCACTGCCTTCCTCTCTGGTCCTTGTGCAGGAACCTGGTCTCTCCAGCTGCCTTTTACCTTGCTACCCCCACGTCAGCCCTCAGGGGAAGCTGTCAGGCCAGAAGAGCAACAAGAAGGGAATTCTGCAAAGACACCTCCCACTCCAGATCCCGACTCTCTGCTGAGATGTGTATGAAGCCCTTGACTTCCTCTCTGCTTTAATGCCTAAATAAGCGAAAGGCAGAGAGAGAGAGAGAGAGCAAGAGAGAGAGAGGAGAGAGAGAGAGCGAGAGCCCATCCACTCTTCACGCCCCAGCCTGTAGCGACTGGGATTGGGCCAGGCCCAAGCCAGGAGCTGGGACTGCATCTGGGTCTCCAGTGTGGCAGGCAGGGACCCAAGTACACGAGCCATCACTGCTGTCCCCCAAGATTAACATTAGCAAGAAACTAGAATTCAGAACGGAGCCTGGATTTGAACTAGGCACTGACATGGGGTGTGGGTGCCCCAAGCTGAATCTTAAACACTGTGTTAAATACCTGCCCCTCTGCTTTTTTTTTTTTTATAAAGATGTATTTATTTATTTGAAAGGCAGAGTTACAGAGAGGCAGAGGGAGGAGGATGAGGAGAGAGAGAGAGAGAGAGAGAGAGAGAGAGAAAGAAAGAGAGAGGTCTTCTATCTGCTGGTTCACTCCCCAGATGGCTGCAACATCTGGAGCTGCGCCTATCCGAAGCCAGGAGCCAGGAGCTTCTTCCAGGTCTCCCACATGGGTGCAAGGGCCCAAGGACTTGGGCCATCTTCTACTGCTTTCCCAGGCCACAGCAGAGAGCTGGATTGGAAGTGAAACAGCCGGGACTCGAACCGGCGCCCTTATGAGATGCCGGCCTGCAAGCCATGGTTTTACCCGGTACACCACAGCGCTGACCCCCTTTGTTTTAATTTCTGACAGTAAAGCCAGCCATGCAAAACCTTGCTTAGGAAAATATGGCTGGGGAAGGACTTGGATACCGTGTCACCTTCCTGGGACCACCCCACTGACCCAACGCCCTGAAACGTAAAAGCAGCTTTTGCTAGACTGTAGTTCTCTCCCCTTAACCAAGAAGCACCTGGGGTCAGCAGGAGCGGAAGGCTCCGGGAAGCTTCTAGAAGGCCTCTAGCAGCTGACGAGGCAGGGAAGGACTCTCCCGCTGAGCTCTTCGAGGGCTCGTGGGCCTGCCGACACCTGGATTCAGAGCTCCCGTCTCTGGAACTGCGAGATGATGTATTTCTGTTGCTTGAAGCCCCTCAGTATGGGCACTTGGGAAGCGAGCTCGCCTCGTCTGCTGCTCCGTGTAGCTCTTTCTTTTCCCCGAAAGACTGCGACACAGACTGGACGCGTGCCTGTGGGGCTGGGAACCGGCCTCACTGAGTAACAAGGAGGGAGCCGGGTGAAGAATCCTGCAACCTCACTCTTGGCCTTCGGGGCCCCGATCTCTCTTCTGTTAGAGGATCCGCATCTCAGTCCAGTTTCTGCTGCTGTGACAAACTCCACAGACTGAGCAATCTACAAATGTCGTCGCTTATTTGGCTTGTGGTTCGCGAGGCTGGGACGTCCACGTGGCCTGCCACGTCATGCCACGGCAGGAGGGCACACCTGTGAACTGCTGCCGTGGATCCTGGTGTTCATTAGCGTCTGACTGCAAAATGGCCGGCTCGGGTCCCGCTCCACACTGCAAGCCCTTCGGGAGGAATGGGGCCCTGTGTTTCTCTTACGTCACAGTGCTGGCCCATAGTAGATGTTTACTATGTACCCATATTTATTAACTAAATGAGAATGATAATCAGATTCAAAAAGTCAGGGAACATCTGAGCTGGAAGGAACCACGAGGTCATCAGATCTGGTGGTTCCCACAAGGGTCAGGCCACGACCTGAGGGGGATTTTGGAAATACGTGGGAGTGTTTCTGGTCTCCCGGTGATGGGTCTACGGCAGGGCTAGCTGGGTGTTAAGTGAGCTGTAATGGTTAGGACAGTCCCACTGGATACCCCACGCACTTTCTTAAAAAAAAGTTTTATTTATTTGAAAGGTGGAGCGATAGAGGAAAGAGAGAGAGAGAGAGAGAGAGCACTCTTCTATCTGCCGGTTCACTCCCCAAAGGGAGCTAGGAACTCCGTTTGGGTCACCATGTGCGTAGCACTTGGGCCATGTCTGCCTTTTCCCAGGCACGGTAGCAGGGAGCGGGATCAAAAGCGGAG